GTAGAGAAGCGGTGTATATAGTCGGGTTAGAAGTAAATGCTGCGTCGACGGCAAAGAGAGCGTGAAACGCAAAGAAGATGGAATTTAATAGGCAGCGTAGAGAAGTAGTGTAGCTGAAGTGATGGTATTGTAGTGGGGCGATGGCAAATAAAGTGACAGGATCATAGGTCTTCGTCAGGCGCATCACTATCCGTAGTCAAGCTCTGCAGAAAATATCAGGCGCCATCTTCGTCCAGAAACTCGAGGTGGTTGAAGCCTTGGTAACATGTGATGAACATGTCAAGCTTGGCAGCATTGCAAGCTACGTAAGCTTAACAAGCGGCGCGATATTTTGTTCTCCCCACGCAGGCTAAGAATTTCAGAGTGAGCGACTTGCTACGACATTTGCCAAGCTCAGCATCGTGCCAAAGCAAGTTCTGTTCTTTTGTGCGTTGTCAGAAAGCGACCCGTCCTAAGACAGAAGTTGTCAGAAAGCGACCCGTCCTAAGACAGAAGTGAAGACAGAGGATGATAAGTCTTCGTCAGGCACATCGCTATCCGTAGCCAAGTTCGGCAGAAAACAGCAGTACCACGCCGAGGCTAGTTCTGCTTCTCGGGCATTGTCAGAGAGCGACTCTACCCAAGACAGTCAGCGCAGAACGTTCCACGTTGAGGTCAGCCTCTGGTCTTGCGCTGGAAGGAGAACGACAAGTCCACAGGCCGCGTCCACCCCAGCATGGACTTCCTTCTCTGCCCAGCCTTCACCGGCCTGTCGAAAACATTCACGTCCTGGACCACCCAAGCAAACAAGCTCTCCGCATCTATCGACCACCAATCGAAGTGACTCCCCCCGGCGATGCAAGTGTCCTGCCTGTGGCCATGGAAGTCATCGTAGTCCCGAAACTCGAAGCAGCCAGCAAAGGTCACCACTCCCAACACCTGAGCCTCGGAAGGCGGAGGCCCGACTTCCACGTCCACGATGGCACCCTCTGTGGAGCCGCGGCCCAAGGTCTCGATGAGGAAGATCTGGTCGCCCTCGGAGAAGCAGGAGTAGTGTCCCAAAGCGAACTTTCTCACTTCCATGGTCTTCCTGCCCGCCATGATGAGGCGACTCCAGGGGTGCTGGATGTTGAGCCCACACAGCGACATGTGCTGAATGGAGCTTTGCACGCCGGCTGGAAGCTTCAAGCTGGCAGCTCGTTCAACAGCTCCGCCTGCTGTGGCAGAATCGCGTATGAAGTTCAAATCTGCCACCGCTTTCTTCTTGGAGTCCCGCAGCGGGCCGTAGATGTTCCTGCGCTCGTCATCTATGTACACGTGTGGGAGATGCGCTCGCCACCCATGACCATGCCTTTGAATGCTACCGCGGGCGCGCAAAGGGCGCGGCTTCCTACCACACAGCGACATCCTACAATCACACAGAAAAGATGAGCTGCAGAGAACATGACATCTCCAGTCAGTTGCCAAGCGACCATCACATGTTCAACTGAGAACAGCACTAATGCAGAGCTGCAAAACTTCTGAGCGCCAGTCCACGAAAAGTCCAGGATGAATACGTCCTAGCACGCAGCGACATGCTAGAATCACACAGAAAAGATGAGCTGTGCAGAGAACATCACATCTCCGCCACACCCACACAGCTTCTGAGCACCGGTCCGTCACGAGTCCAGGATGAATGAAAGCGAGGCAGCCTTATGTAAGACGACTCCAACACTTATCTCATCCATCTGACCGCCGTGCCCCCCCTCTCCCCCGAGCTTGAGGGCGCCGCTTCGTTGACGTCCAGCAGGGCGACGTCGCGGCGCCGCGTGAAGACATGCAGATCAGGCAAGGAACGTTCGAACTGTGGATACTATTTGCCATCAACTGTTTCAAGCATGCCGTAATTCCGCTTCCACGCTATTTGCGAGGTTTTCAAGCATGCGCAATTCCGCTTCCATGGTATTTGCGAGGTTTTCGCGCAGGCGGAATTCCGCTTCCATGCTATTTGCGAGGTTTTCGTGCAGGCGGAATTCCGCTTCCGTGTTATTTGCGAGGTTTTCGCTCACGCCGAAATTCCGCTTCCACGCTATTTGCGAGGTTTTCAAGCATACGGAATTCCGCTTCCATGCTGTTTGCGAGGTTTTCGCGCAGGCGGAATTCCGCTTCCATGCTATTTGCGAGGTTTTCGATCATGCCGCAATTCCGCTTCCATGCTATTTGCGAGGTTTTCAAGCACGCGCAATTCCGCTTCCCCATGCTATTTGCGAGGTTTTCGCGCACGCGGAATTCCGCTTCCATGCTATTTGCGAGGTTTTCGTGCAGGCGGAATTCCGCTTCCATGTTATTTGCTCATGCCGAAATTCCGCTGCCACGCTATTTGCGAGGTTTTCAAGCATACGGAATTCCGCTTCCATGCTTTTTGCGAGGTTTTCGGTTTCGCACCACGGCAGCTCCGGGAGTCCGCGGCGTACTACGTTTGTACTACAAAAAGTCGACTTTCCAGCCACGGCAGCTCCGGGTGTCCGCGGCGTACTACGTTCGTACTAGTACTACAAAAGTCGACTTTAAAGCCGCGGCAGCTCCGAGCGTCCGCTGCAGAAAGTCGACTTTTGTGGTTCTAACGTAGTACACCGCGGACGCCCGGAGCTGCCGTGGCTGGAAATTCGACTCTTTTGTAGTACAAACGTAGTACGCCGCGGACGCCCGGAGCTGCCGTGGCTGGAAATTCGGCTTTTTGTAGTACAAACGTAGTACGCCGCGGACGCCCGGAGCTGCCGTGGCTGGAAAGTCGACTTTTTGTAGTACAAGCGTAGTACGCCGCGGACGCCCGGAGCTGCCGTAGCTGGAAAGTCGACTTTTTGTAGTACAAACGTAGCACGCCGCGGATGCCCGGAGCTGCCGTGGCTGGAAAGTCGACTTTTTGTAGCACAAAGGTAGTACGCCGCGGACGCTCGGAGCTGCCGTGGCTGGAAAGTCGACTTTTTGTAGCACGAACGTAGTACGTGTTTGTGCCACAAAAAGTCGGCTTTCCAGCCACGGCAGCTCCGGGCGTCCGCGGCGTACAACGTTTGTACTACAAAAGTCGACTTTCCAGCCACGGCAGCTCCGGGCGTCCGCGGCGTACTACGTTTGTGCTACAAAAGTCGACTTTCCAGCCACGGCAGTTCCGGGCGTCCGCGGCGTACTACGTTTGTACTACAAAAAGTCGACTTTCCAGCCACAGCAGCTCCGGGCGTCTGCGGCGCACAACGTTTGTACTACAAAAGTCGACTTTCCAGCCACGGCAGCTCCGGGCGTCCGCGGCGTACTACGTTTGTACTACAAAAAGTCGACTTTCCAGCCACGGCAGCTCCGGGCGTCTGCGGCGTACTACGTTTGTACTACAAAAGTCCACAGAGAGGAAGAGGAAAGGAAGAGGAAGAGGAGAGGAAGAGGAGAGGAAGAGGAGAGGAAGAGAACAAGAGGAAGAGGAGAGGAAGAGGAGAGGAAGAGGAGAGGAAGAGGAGAGGAAGAGGAGAAGAAGAGGAGAGGAAGAGGAGAAGAAGAGGAGAGGAAGAGGAGAGGAAGAGCAGAGGAAGAGGAGAGGAAGAGGAGAGGAAGAGGAGAGGAACAGGAGAGAAAGAGGAGAGGAACAGGAGAGGAAGAGGAGAGGAAGAGGAGAGGAAGAGGAAAAGAAGAGGAGAGGAAGAGGAGAGGAAGAGGAGAGGAAGAGGAGAGGAAGAGGAAAAGAAGAGCAGAGGAAGAGGAGAGGAAGAGGAGAGGAAGAGGTGAGGAAGAGGTGAGGAAGGCTCCGACACGCACGATCCCCGCAGAGGGTGCGCGGTTAAGTTGCAAAATGTGCGAAAACGCACAGCGGGAGCGCTCCGACACGCACGATCCCCGCAGAGGGTGCGCGGGCACGCATCAACATGCGCAAAAACGCACAGCGGGAGCGCTCCGACACGCACGATCCCCGCAGAGGGTGCGCGGTTAAGTTGCAAAATGTGCGAAAACGCACAGCGGGAGCGCCCCGACACGCACGATCCCCGCAGAGGGTGCGCGGGCACGCATCAACATGCGCAAAAACGCACAGCGGGAGCGCCCCGACACGCACGATCCCCGCAGAGGGTGCGCGGTTAAGTTGCAAAATGTGCGAAAACGCACAGCGGGAGCGCTCCGACACGCACGATCCCCGCAGAGGGGTGCATCGCGCTAGCCGCGGCGAAACCCACCCCAGCCTAAGAAATAAGAGAGAATTTAATAGAGGAGGTGATGTGGTGATTGGAGTGTGGTGATTGTTGTAATGTGGTGATTGGAGTGTGGTGATGGTAGTGTGGTGATGGTAGTGTGGTGATGGTAGCGTGGTGATGGTAGTGTGGTGATGGTAGTGTGGTGATGGTAGGGCTGACGTTTTTTTTCTCCGAAGAACCCTTCGCTGAAGCTTTCGGGAAAAATGACCCCTACCACGACTTTCGGAAACCCGCAGACCTGCGTGCAGGGTCCGTGGATGAGCCGGCTGTGAACAAGGTCTCGAATCCAATGGTGAAGGCCTTCCCAGCTCCTTGGGCTTGGGGTTGGGGTTTTAAGGTTAGGGTTTAGGGGTTAGGGTTTAGGGTTTAGGGTTTCGGGCTTAGGATTAGGGTTTAGGGTTTTAGGGTTTAGAGCTTTAGGGCTTTAGGGCTTCAGGGCTTTAGGGCTTTAGGGCTTTAGGGCTTTAGGGCGCTACGCAACCCACCGCTGCCAAGTTTATGAGGGCCAACTGCGGCCAACTTAGCAGCCTACGTCCCAGCATGGGGTTTAGGGTTTAGGGTTTAGGGTTTAGGGTTTAGGGTTTAGGGTTTAGGGTTTAGGGTTGCTATGATACCCTGTAATCCCTTAGAAGGCCCTTTGTAGGGTTCATTATTCCGTGATGGGCTATGATACCCTGTAATCCCTTAAAAGGCCCTTTATAGGGTTCATTATGGAGATTGTAAGGCCTAGCAGCGTACGTCCTAGGTATGAAACTATGAAATGCAGATCGTGACTTGCAGGAGCTGTAGTTACGTCGTGTCGGCAGCCGCATGATCGCCATAGGCATCCCTCGCAGACACGCCGACTACCATATTTAGCAGCTCAGGATATGTCCTTCCTCAACTCCTGCGAGATGGCAACTTGGTCCCGAACATGCTCCAAAACCAAACCTTAAACCCTAAACCCTAAATCCGATGGCTCAGGAAAAAGAGGTTCAATTGGCCCACTGCAGCCTCAACGGAAGCCTGAAAGGTTACGGGCAACATCATCCAGAACTCGGAGAGGGAGTCCCAGCAGCCCAACCCAGTCCTCAACTCTGGTTGCTTGCGCGCCTTGGGTGAATTGTGCTTCGTTTAACCTGCATGCCCTAAAGAATGTCGCACGAAAGAGCGTTCGAGGAGTGGACATATTCACCGTCAGTGCAAATAGCACGGCTTGGTCGTTTTTGCTGGTAGGGCCAGAAGCCGTCGACGTAGTTCGCTTCTCTGCGTTGGCTTTCAGGAGCGAATGCTGCCCGACATTTGTTTTGGGAGCCCAGCAAGGTGGCCCAGACTGCATCAGCGTTTTGAGTTCAGTTTTGGTCATTTCCAGGCCCTGAGATTGAGTTGAAGGCAGAAGGGAGTTATGGTAGCTTGCCCTGTTGGGCCTGCTTGCTACTTGAGCTACGAACAGTCTCCCGGACAGAGCTCAACCACCCTGAAGCTCCCCTAAAGCCTCAACCCTTTTACCTTAAAGTAGCACCCTGAACCCTCGACTTTTCCTAGGTCAAGGCTGCAGTGGTCACTTGTGGGGGGCTTTGTCCTGGCCTGAACTCCATCATCCGCGGGGTGACGAAGTGCTTGTGGCATGTGGCTCGTCTTCCACCTGAGATCTGGTCGTGTCGGATACTTGCTTGGCGTGAGTGTGGGTACGATGTTGCGCGATGCTCGTGGCATGTTGCGCGAACTCCTTTTCCAAGGAGTATGGAGTGCGAGAGATTCTTGGCATCACCGCCGGCTACAATGGCCTCAGCGATCCAGATTCTCATCCTCCCATTAAGCTGACGGAGGAGAACGTCCGTGACATCCACATGAAGGGTGGGAGCATCATCAAAGCCGCCAGGCCCTAAACCCTAAACCCTAAACCCTAAACCCTAAACCCTAGACCCTAAACCCTAAACCCTAAGCCCTAAGCCCTAAGCCCTAAGCCCTAAACCCTAAACCCTAAACCTTCCATTTTTGTGTGGCTGAAGGCTATGCAGAGATGGGGATGAAACTTTGGGATGTTTCCCCTTATACTAACAGACCTTCATAGTGATGATAAACCCTACTAAGGACTGTTCTTGGGTGGCCTTAGAAAGGCTCTTTGTGTCGATCTCCGGAGGTTTGTTGTCTGATATGCCCCTCAGTATTTCAGGGAAAGCCAGCTGACTTCTCCATCAACAACAAGAACAAAAATCTGTGCCACAAAAAAGATAACCTGTTTGTTTTCTTTGACTGGACTCATGATTCATGATGTTCGTTTTGCTCCAAAGAAACATGGACTTCGGACAATTATGTGTCATCGCAAAGACTCAGAAAAGCTATGAATTTGCCTTCCACCAAAACATGAATATCTATGCCAAACACAAACAGATTTGTTTTCTTTGGCTGAAACCATGATTTTTTCTTTGAGAGAACCTGGGCTTAGGACAAAAGTAGGATCAGTTTGCTTGAAAGAAAGTCAACAAACTTTGTGGGTTTAGTGGAGGAGAGTATTCAGGTTTTGGGGCAGTAGCGCCTGCGCAAGGTGGTAGTTAATAGGTGGTGGGTTGCGCCTGCACAAGGTGATTGCTAGGCCTTAGTAGTAGGGTTTAGAGTTGAGGTGGTGGGGGAGGGGGCCGCCTGCTACAGGTGATAGGTCCCGGGTTGTTGTGGGTGGGTTGGAGCCTGAACCTTAGACCCTAAACCCAAAAACCTTGTAGCGTTCGGGCTTGGGGAACCAGTGATGTTCGTTTTTTGTCGGCGGGGGGGGGGGGGGGGTGGTTGCGCCTGCGCAAGGTGATAGCTAGTTGTTGGTTTTTTTTGGGGGTGGTTAGGGTTTAGGCTTCAGAGGGGGAGGGTGGTTCTGCGCCTGCACAAGGTGATAATTTAGCTAGTTGCTGGGTTTCGGGGAGGGTTCGGTTTGGGTGGGGGCGGGGGGCGTGCAGAAGGTGGTAGCTAGTTGCTGGGTTTGGGGGGGGGGGGGGTAAGGGTTTCGGGTGGGTGGTTTTTGCACCTACACAGGGTTTGGGGGGGGGGGGGGTTGCGCCTGCACAAGGTGATAGCTAGTTGCTGGGTTGTTTTTTGGGGTGGTTTGCGCCTGCACAAGGTGATAGCTAGTTGCTGGGTTTTTTTGTTGGGATGGTTTGCGCCTGCACAAGGTGATAGCTAGTTGCTGGGTTTTTTTTGGGGTGGTTTGCGCCTGCACAAGGTGATAGCTAGTTGCTGGGTTTAGGGAGGGGTTAGGGTTTAGTCGCCCGCAAAGGGTGATAGTGGTCGTCCGAAACCCTTAGCCTGGCCTAAGCCCGAGACCCTAAGAGAGAGTCGGCGCATAGGGCCATAGTGGGTGTAGGTTGTAGGTGGTCCCTAGAACCCTGGCCTAAGCCCCAGACCCTACCGAAACCCTAAACCTGGCTGTTCCCTAGACACTAGACCCTAGCCTAAGTCCTACACCCTAAACCTAAGCCCTCTCAGGCCTGGAGCTCAGAGTGATTGTGCTGCGGAAGCCCTCTTGCGTCAGGGTTTAAGGGGGCTGCGCGTGATAGGTTTTGGGGTTTGGTTGCGCCTGCGCAAGCTGATAGCCAATACCCCCCAAAGCCTAAGCCAAACCCCAAGGCCCGCCCAAGTAATCTTTTAGGCTGAAAGGTTACCTGAGCGGTTCCCGCCTCGGTTTCGGGGGGTGCCAATCTCTGTATGGGGTGTGGAGCTTGAAGCCGAAGAGATCCCATCCCTCCTCGTTGTCATCGAGTTCACGTTGACGCCAGGACCTCGCGTGCGGCGGCCAAGCTCCAGGGGAAATTTCTGATCGTTTGTTTTCGGTTCAGATTGCAAGGCCTAGGGTTAAGGGTTTCACTCAGCTACTTGTGCTCCGCTGAGTTTCTAGGTTAAGGGCACGCCTGGAAAAGGTGATAGTGGCCGGGTAACGGGTTTATGAGGGTTACGTGTGCAGAAGGTCAAAGACCCTAAGTCTTTTGGAGCATTTGGAGGGGCGCCTGCAGAAGGTGTTAGGTCTTAGATCGGGATTAAAGAGCATTTGTGTTTTCGCCTGCAGAAGGTGATAGGCTTTAAGGGGCTTTTGGACTTTCGACGTGATACCCTTGAAGGGGCAATCATCAAATCGTGGCAGTAGCGTGCCATAGACCATATATATATATATGTATATGTGTATATGTGTATATATGTTTACATTTTATATAAGAAAATTATCACCCCCTCCCCCCCCCCCCCCCCCCCCCCCTCTAGTCTAGCACACACACCACCCTTTTACAATTTTTGGGTTTAGAATGATTGTGATTCTCTTCCAAACTGAGGGGTTGGGGTCCGTAGATCCTAGCTTTGAAGGTTGCGCTCTCCAACACTCTCTTTTGTTTTAAGGCTTCTGTTTATGGGAAGCAGCCCTCCCTTTCCCACTCCCAAGATTGGCTTGCGTTGCCCGGCCCACTGTGCCGCTCGCTGCAAAGGAGGCCAGACATCGTCAAACCCATGACCCTGAACATTGTAATGCGGGGATGCCGTTCAAATGTAGGGGTAGGTTTCTTGCTGGCGTTTATCTTCCTCATTGCCGCTTGGGGCTGGTGAGGGTTTAGGGTTTAGGGTTCAGGGTATATAATCAAGGGATTCCTCATTCTTGACCAGCGATGTGTTTAAGTTTAGGTTGGCTTCTGGTTCATGATCATAGTTGTTTCTGGCTGCATCCCTATGGAAGAATGCCCTATTTCATTCAAGGTTCCGGACTTTGGGATTTCGGTGTGCCCAAGAGACCCCACAACGCCATCCTGCTTGCAAACCTCACATCGCCCAGTGTAATCAAAACCTTGCCCTTGCACCTCCGTTGCCACCTTTGACTTTTCCTGGAGAACAACTTCCTGAAGCCCAATCCCACGTGCTCTTGTCTGCGTCCGCAGGGTGGGCTCTTATCTGTGTTCATGGTGAATCTGCTTATTCCTTCAGCGCCTAGTTAATATGTCCCTTCCAGGCTTTAGAAATGATTGTAGAGTAGAGGGCTCACAGATAGTCCTTACGAGATATCCCATCAATCCCGACCCCTTGCGATGCTAAACCCTCAACCCTACTATAAGCCCTAAACCCTAACGTAAGAAGGTCTCACCTCTGGGACTTCTTCAGTCCTTTAAGGTTCTTACCATGGGGCTTGAATTTTCGGGTTTGGGCCGTTGCTCAGGGTCCTAGCTAAAACTGCGGCTGGAACTTAACGGCAACTTCCTAGCCAGGGGGTGACAGGCTAATAAACCCTAAACCTTAAACCTTCAGCCTTGTGGGTTCATGCCATTGAGGTCCTAGGTTTCCGCCATGGGTCCGAAGGTGCCGCGTCATCTGAAGGCCGTGACTTCCCAGGCCAACCGCCGGGATCGGCGTGAAGAGCAGCGGCGGCGGGGCCCACCGCCTGTCATTCCTGCGCGTGCGAAGGAGCGGTGTTCGGAGCACAACTCACGTTTTTAATTTCGCGCGGTTGCCAATCTCCTAATTGCGAGCAGGTTTCCTTGTTGTGGAGATCTACTAGTCCAGTAAATTGATGACTTGCAGCTCTATCACTTCCCTGCAGGGGCCACAGCCTGGTGATGTGCCGGGAGCTGCTGCAGCTGGAGCTGGTGATGCGGCGGTGGCGCCAGATGCTTTCCTTACTTAGCCCCATTCTTGGTATTGTTCTACTTTCGTGTCCTGGCTTCAGCCAGGTTTCTCTTACACATCGTCTCATCTTCTTCCTCAGGCCATGCCAAAGGTGATTGCGGCCAGGGCTCCCATGCCGCGGGCACCTGTGCCGGGGAGGACAAAAACATATCTTGTTGTTCTTGAAGGAGTAGCCACCGTTCAGGTCGCTGCCCCTATTGTGCCATGTCCTGTTCGGGCACCACTTCGGGCACCAGCTCCAGCACCCAATTCTTTACTTCTCAATTTTTTGGCTTGCATAGTGAAACCTCTGCAAACAAAATCTCTCTGCCATTCTTAGTTCCCTAAACCCTAAACCCTCAAGGCCAGCATAGATAGGAATCATATGCTCGTGCGATAATCCTTCGTCCTTCGCAGTGCAAAAAAGAAGACATGACGCTCACGCACCTCAACCCCAGCCCCCCAGCCCTCAGCCCCTCAGCCTCAGCCTGGAACGGCATCCCCCACGCAAGAGTCTTGTCGGGGATGGCGTTGCCACCCCCCCCCCCCCCCCCCCAAACACCCAAGCAAAGTATGTGCGCGCGCACCCCACCCCCACCCCCCACCCCCCCCAAACACCCAAGCAAAAGAAGGTGCGCGCGCGCGCGTCTGCACCTTCCAAGCAAAATTGTGTGTGCGCGCGCATGCTGCGCCTGGCAAACAAAGGTGCGCGCGCGCGCGCACCTGCGCATCCCCAGCCCCAGTCCCTCACCCAAAAACCAGAGTTGAACAAGAACAGCAAAAAGCCCAAAACCCTTCAAAACCCCCTAAAACCCCGGACCCACCCTAGACAATTTCTATTAACCCTAAACCCAGTCCTTCCCAGGCAGCAGTCACGGTGAGCAGCCCTTCCTGCCCTTCAGCTGTGAATCAGAGTGCTGCGGCATCTTCGCGACTCCAGTCAGCTGTGCCTGGTGCTGCAGCATCTTCTCGACTCCGGGCCTCCTTGGCTTCATCCGGCAAGCTTTTTTCAGGTGCTGTTGCTTCTTTGGCGTTGCTCCCGAACTCCACACCCTCGCTTCTCCCGTGAATGTCCCAAGGAGCCAGATGAGGTGGGCGCGACTGCAAAGCCCGTTGGCAGGCGTGATGCCTTCGAGGCGGCTCAGTCTGTACCTAGGTCGCATGCGTCTGTTATTTGCGTTTTGAGAAGCACAGAAACAACGAGTGATACTACGCGCGGTACTTGTAATTTTCACTCCTGCGATCAACTCAGGCACG